CGCAAAACACGCTGCCCAATTTCGGACCAAAACGTTCTGCTGTGGAAACTCGCCTTTGCACTTACACCACCTGTAATCACCGGCTCTTGCACATTCCTCTGAAACGAAAGGTGGGGTGTACGTACTGAGCAACGTCAGGGTAGTGCTGCGTCTTTTCGCTAGAGGTGTTGCCACGTGTTTCAGGGAAGTGTGTACGGACATCCGATATCCCAGCCACTCCTCTTTTGGTCCGAAACTGGGCAGCGTGTTTTGCGTTGCCCGTTTCTGCTCAGTACAAGGGTAGGATCGATAGCATGTGTCGTACGGAAAAAGCTAAATTTTTGTTGGACTGTGGTTTTTTTGCTAAGATTTTAAATTTTATTATTATTTCGTTTGCCATCCGACAATTGCAGATGAATTCAAAAATACACACAATCAATCATACATACATCGAATCAATCGGTATACCCCTCCCAACAAAAAAGAAATAAAAAACCATCCCAAATCCATAATATTCTGCTGTAGATATTTCACAATTCTATACATACACATGAGTATATGTTCCAACCCACGTTCGTACAAGAAAACAAAGCATGTGTTCTCCTCTGAACCAAACATACAGACAAACGACATACATACATGAGACAAATTAACTCATACACATATATATGACAAACATATAAAACAAAGTAAACAGACAAACAACAAAATGAAAACATCGACCACCTGCAAACCTAAACCATCAAGTACGATCTTGATGCTCTACTGTGCATCTAAACTCCATCCCCAAATCATTGGGGCAGATTCTCCAGTTCTCGTTGTCCTTCCTTCTATCTCTTGTCTTCCCCGCAGGGATAACTTGTAACGCTGAACTCTCCTCGATATGGCCACCTGTGTAGCCACGGATATGACCTGAAGAAGTCGCTCCTTGATAACCCCTTTCTGCGCCATGCTTCCTCCTTCCCTCCTTTCCGCGACGTGCGTTGCGAGTTCGTTGATGAATTCGTATCCCTCCTCTCCAAGGCGGCCAAAGCTTTCCACCGCTAAGGTGGTTAGTTTAAAGCTGCGCTCGTCAAAGGACACGTGTCCCGGACGAGCGTAGTGCTGACGCTTTCGCGCCTCGGAGGCTTGGGCGGCGGTTCCATCGCTAGTCGCGCTGCCATTCCGCAAGTGTACTTGTGCTTGCGGGTCTGCGTGGGTCACATCGAGTAGTATGCCCTTGTTTCGGTACACCGAGGACGCCGCGTTCCTGAGTGCTCCCGGCCTGATCACGATGTCCATGCTCAGGTTCCTTGCCCCCGTGAAAGGCGCTCCGCTTTCCACGTCATGTTTAACCGCAATGCCGTTGAGTGCCTTTGATATTGCATACTTCAACGGCTCGTGCATGTTCACCTGCGCTCCATCTCGGTGGCAAGTTCGTGCGTGCACTGTTGTGATCATACAGTTTTCCCTGTTTCGATGACACCTGGGGCATCCTTGCGCCAAATACTCCTCGACTCCTACCGCTCGCCGGATGGCGAGGGTAAATTCATTTGGGCCGATTTCTCGAGCTTTGTCGGTGGGAGCTGCTCTCAGCCATGCTTGAGCTCCTCTTCCTTTGGTGCTCCTCACTCTCGCATTTGCCATGTCCCTGGACTCTGTCCCTCCGAATAGGTTTCTCTGAGTGGGTGATATCGGCACCAGAGGTACAGAAGGCGCCCGCAAGTAAGAAACGTAAAATATGGGTTGAGCCTCGATTTCCTATTGCTGGCCTGTGTACCAGCCTTGGTGCTGATTTTTCCTATTCGAAGTTTCTTATTTTTGGGGCCTTTCAGGAATTGCTTTCTTTCTTATAACGGACGTTTCTTGCACCCGCGTTGCAGCCGTCACCCGTCGTCGCGTGTACTTCTGAGGCAGTTCTGCAGTGGGTTCGTGTTGCATTCCTTGTTAATGTATGGTCGTAGATTGGTACCCTCTCACATCATTCTCGCCACAACCCGGACAAACACACTTCGAAGATAGGAACAAGCGCGGAAAAATCAAAACGGACGCTGATGATCCCGCTGTCACTCCACGGGAGCCATACTGTACAGTGTGTCCCCCGAAAAAGCGCAACGCGCGCACTCTCAGCCTCAAAAGAACAACTCGACCAACATCCACCCAACCATCACGTCGGCAGCTCCGAGTGGCGAACATTCGGGGTTGTCGCCCTCCTTGACTTCCTGATCCTTACCTCCTCCTGCTCTACCTCTAGCAGCACCCACGAACCAACGCCCGCGTCTTCATCCGTGCTGTACGATTCCAACGGCAACTTCATACTTCGCGTGCTTCCGTCAGAGTGCAGGACGACACGGTAGTCATACTCATCCCGCGAAGCCGGGTGGGCTCTACGAGAAATAACCCCGCCGAACCAACCCAACCCCAATTTCACGAGTACCCCACGCTTGACTAAGGACTGATCGAGGGCCGAAGGTGGAGACGCCTGGAGCTGGAACCCGTCTGGGATGTCCATCTCCAAGGATTCTTCGCCGGCGCACAGCTGGTCATCATCGTGAAGCTGGGTCAGCGGGTCCTCGCTCTGTTTTTCATCGTCTCCTGACAAAGAAAAGGGAGGCACCCACAGCTAGTTAGGTCCACGAAGGGGAGAACGACCCCGCTACCACTGTCGTATATATCAACATGAAAAATGCCATCCCGCAAACTAAATAGCGAGAGGGTGAACACCAGGACAACAACCCAAACATGACTCACCGTCGCTTTCGTCACAACTGGAAGCGTCCTCCTCGGACTCGCTGTCGCCCCCCAACTGTAAACCAAGGTCCCCACCGCCCCTCCCCCCTTCCCCCGGGTTGCTGTCATCCTTCCGCTCCTCCTCGTCCTCCTCCCCAGAGCTGCCGCCGACGTCCGCGTCCATGAAATTTAGCGGCCCGGACACGCCTTCGAGGTTGATGCGCTCGTCTCCAGAGCCGTCCGCCGTCATTCCCGTCCCTGTCTTCTCAAAGAGACGGGACCGATACTGCTGGTCAGCGTTGATCTTCTCGATCACCTCTGCCACCCACTGTGTAAGCAACACGCGACGTTCGGATGCCGTGAGTGATCCGTCTTCCCACTGCTGCAGGTTATCTCCGTGCTCGAGCCACGAGTCTAGCTGGCGCCCCATCCCAGTTTTCATCCGCCGTCCCATCCCAGCGTCGACTGGCTGGAGCTCGTCGGTGCATCCTGCCGGCAAGAGCCAGAGCAGAGTGTTGCATTCCTTGTAGAGGTACTTGCGGAACTTCTCAGTTGTCTGCCCGTGCAGGTTGTCCGCGAGGAGAACCGTCTGCGCGTCGGGCACTTTCCCGCCCGAAGCCGCCATCAGACTCGGACGGAAACAGCGCTCTAGCCACTGCATGCAGAAGTTGTCGTCCGCCCAGGCTTTGGGCTGAAAGAAAACATCCACGCGCTTGTCGTAAGCTGCCTTTTCCACCTTGGAGATGCCGGTTCCCTTCCCGCGAAAAATTATGGCGCACTTCATTACTTTTCCGCCGGGCCCAAAGGTCGGCTGCACGGTGCACTGTCGCTTCTCCAAGCCAGGGAAAGGCTGCATGATATGGACGCGCCTCGCTCCCGTTTGTTCCCAGGAGTCCACCTGCCCGTTCACGAAACCCGTCGGCACCTGGTCGGTGTTCAGTCTTTCGTCCGGCAAGAATCGCCCCCACTTGTGGTGAGCTTGGAGGTCGCCAGACGCTTCCTGGGGTACTTGTTGAGGCCAGGGAACTAGCTCCCCTCCACACCTCCGGGGCTCTCGCAGGAGCTCGCGATACCTCTTGAGCCATGCGTTGATCTTTGGCAGGCGCTCCTCCGAAGACTTGTTCTTGCCGTTCGATTTCCTTCGCATGGACAACGAGTGACGGTGTGCCCACTTTTGCGCCCACCGGTAGGACGCCCGGAACGTCTTCGCACGGGGGTCTTCCGGGTACTTTTCCGCAAGGAGCTTCCTGAACGTGACCGTCAGCCACCTCGTGGAGACCCGCACCTTCTTCTTGCGCCGCTCCCTGTACATCGTGTACAGCGCTTGCTCGGCTTCTGGGAACCACCGCTTCGGTCGAGACTTCGTGTCGAACAGCTTCTTCTTCACACTCTTGGCCGCCACCTCCAAGAGTTTCTCCTCTTCGCGTTGCCACTTGCTGATGTTGGCCACAGCGATTCCCGTTTTGTTGGACAGGTAACCGAGAGGGGTCAAGTTGAAGTGCGCGCGTACCTCTTGCGCCCGCGACTCCAGCTCTCGCAACTGCTCCACAACGCTCAGTTTCTCTCGCGGGTCGTACTATCGCCGGTGGTCTGCCCCGCGTGTTTTCTTCGGCGCTTCCTTTTCCGGGGCGGGAAAGCCGTCGCTTATGGTGTTGTCCTTCTCGACTCCACCACGCAGAGGCTGCAGCACGAAGGTAACGGACCCTCTTGGAGAGGCCAATCCTGAGGCTTGGTGGTGAAACTTAACACGCCAGCAACGTCCTGACGGAACCCCACTCCAGGGAAGGGTAGATGATGGGTCAACCACGGCGCTCGCCGTCGAACACCAACGGGTCACTCCGATCCGTACGTCATCCTTGTGGTCCGTTTTCACGTGGACGCCAAGACCCTGGTTGTTGAAGAAGAGACGGTGGCACTTCGGGCACGGCACCTTCGGGGTGAGAGGTGGAGGGTCGGGGAAGGTGATGTCCATGATGTTCTCGGTGCTTCCGTCCTTCCGAGTGCGTACCATCTACGTCGACGGGGGATGGGGGGCATCGAAAGGAAGCGGGGGCAAAACAAAACACGGGCACAGCAGTAGCACATCAATTCCATGTTCTTGTGTTCCTGTGAGACACAACCGTGCCCGGTAATGTAGTAACACGAAGGAAACAAAGCAACATCCACGCAGCATACAGCATGTACGTACAAAATGTACCATTTCGTCACACAAATTGTACCATTTCGTCACATGTGTGGACGGTAGCGCGGACACGATTCCGCTCTGAAAAATTCCAGCGAAAATTTTTAACGAGACCCTGCTGTTGATCGACACACCTACTTTACACTGCTGAATGACAAGAAGAAAATAAAATGTACCAGGTTCTCTCTTTTATTTTTGCACAAATCCTCAGCATCACATGTACGTCGCCTGTCAAACAAATATTTCCGCGTTGGCTGTGGTCAACCCCGCCTTTAGGACCCCAGAAACAAAAGCAGTAGTGCTACAAAATCAAACACAGATGGTGGGGGTATGGTATCTACCGTGTGAAATTACATGCCGGGAACAAAATAAAAGCATGCTATTCTGTACCAGTGCAGCAGTACAACAGCGACTCTCTGCCGCTCTCTCTGCAAAATTTCTACTCTCCAACTCAATATCTCGTTCGCGCAGTGTATCAACGAAAGAAGAGAGAGACAAACATCTTTAGTAAGCGACGACAATCTACTCACCGGTTCGCCGGTAGCTCTGACGAAGGCGTTGACGATGTTGGGCGTCCCTGCAATGCCCGCCGCCGCTCTGGCTCGCCCTTTCCTCTTGGGTCCTGATGATGCCGCCTTACGTTTCACCCCTGTAAGCTCAGAGCTTGAACCACCAGTAGACCCAGCAGGGGCTGCCATTTGTGTCTTCTTGACATGAGCGTTGATGTGGTCGTTGAGCAGGGTCGAGTGCTCTGTCTCTGAGAGGAGATCATGAGCTCTTTGGTTCCGCAGACTTGCGATGTCGCTGAAAAATGTTGAAGGCAGGGTCTTCTTGTCGAGGAGGTGCTGTTTGATATCAGAGACTTGGCCGCCAGTCAGCTGATCTTTTATGGCCAACAAGTCGTCTAAGCTGCCGATCGAGGCAGTGGGAAGGGCCATCACGCCCGATCATGTGTCGACACACCAGTATCATCATGCCGCACACATGCCCGGTCTGAATAGGGGGGTTCGCAAATGTTTGTACCGTACCCACAGGCCACCAAAATACACCCACCATGGGGTAGGGGTGGGCACTGGGCTCCACTGGCCGTTTCTTATTTTTCGCACCCTCCCCAATGCGCTTCGTTTCTTGTGGTTTGGATTAGTCTTGCCCTCAGTTTCTTGTTGGGGTGTTTCTTAGTAGATGGCCCAGGTTGAGGTGTGTTTCTTACCGGATTTTTCTTATTTTTCGCAGAAATCTCAGCGTTAATTTCTTACTTAAATTTTTCTTACTTGCGGGCGCCCTCTGTAGTTCCTCCAGAGAGTCCATAAACTTAGCGAGTAGATTCTTGTTGATGGCTTTGCCCAGTTTGTGTTGGGCTTTCCTCGCTGTAGTTGATTCTCCATCGTGCGCAGCTAGTTCTGCCATCGTGGGTTGACGCCTTCCGTTTTCCCCTGGATCTTCTAGTGCCCACGACACCCATGACGGGGGAACAATTCCTCTTAGAACCTCCTCCGTCAGCCCATGCTCCTGGTTGAGTTCCTTGATGGCATCTCCCATCCTTGCCACCAATGTGGTGTTCGGTATCTTCTCTTTCACCGAGTCTCCGAGAGGTCCTGTTAGTGAGGCGATAACCTCTGGTAGGGTACTTATCAGATTCCCCAAAGAAGCTGAGAACCTCCGCATAACCGCCGATGATACCCCCAACCCCCCAGCCCCTGTCGACAACTGCGTCTGGGCTCTTTGATAGGGTCTTAGCTTGAGGTCGGTGTCCTGGCAACCTTGTTGGAAGAACTCTTCCTCGCTTTCAGTACCTTCGATCCCCATCCCTGTCTCGAGAGCCCACTGAACCATGTTGTCCAAGCGCTCGCATGCCTCTTTTGTCAGTGTGGGGTCTATCCCCCTCTCGATATAGGCGGATCGTTGGATCAGGGATAAGGAGGTGATCAGATTTGCCACTTGTCTGTCCGACATTAGGGGTAGCATTCGTGCAAGCTTCTCTGCTCCCCCTTCCGTGATCACCTTCATGGCGAACTCCCTGACGTAATTGTCGGTTCCAATCGGGACGCCAACCACTGTGATGCCTTCTCCTGCTACCGTGAGTCCAACTCCTTCCAGAAGCCGCCTCTGTTGATCCGTAATCATGTGCCCTGGAGGAGGTAAGGCAGAACTTTTCGCCCTGTTGACAACTATGCCCACTTCCGCGAGTTCGTCTACGAGGTCCGTCATCGCCTGCACAGATTCTTCTGTAAGGTCTTTGAGGTGCAAGGTGATGTCGTCCATGTATGCTTTGAACGCAACTCCAAGAGGTTTGTACTTATCCTGGAGTTTGAGGATGATTGGAATAAGAATCAGCGAAAACAGAGGCGGTCCCATCCCATCTCCTTGTTGTACACCGCTCGTGCACTCGAGCGTCCGGCGTTCCCCAGAATCCATCTCATATACTGCTGTGGCCGGAATTTCGTCGTAGCACCTCGCGATATACCCAACGAGATCCGGAAGGCTCTTAGCCGCTTGCGCCATTATGGCAGTGCGCTTTCCTGTATTGAAAGCGTTAGAGCAATCCGTCTGGATAATCCAGTTTCCCGTCTGATGGACGAGTTGCGCTTCCATCGCCACTCGTTCGACCCCTCCTGCCACCGCCACTCCGAATTGGTTGGCCTCCCGAAACATCTCCTCTAGTTTCGGTTTCCACTGCCTGACTGTCCCAGCAGCTATTAGCCTTCTCCAAGTCATCCCAATGCATACCGGGCGGCACTTTTCCCCCAGAGCAATCAGGCTTGACTGCTTCCAAAGAGTCCAAAACTCTGGAGGGAACGTGTTGGGGTCGTTGACGAGTCTCCTCCACAGGGAGGACATCGCGCCGCAGAAGTCTTCTCGTCCAATTTTTGTGTTGGTGATGGACTTCAGGTGGGAAAAACGTTGCCCGTCATTTCCTGCTCCAGAATTGGAGCTCCTGCTGTTGATGACTTCGATGAGAACCTGCGGATCGAACTCCTCTTCCGGCCTCCATCTCGGAGCACTTCCGTTCTCTTCTTCGGTAATACTCTCGGCTATCGCATCCGCAACGGCCTGCTCGACGGCTGCTGAATCCTCTAGGGGGAATTTGGCCTTGAGACGTTCCCATGTTTCGTCATTCCCTGGCGATCGTGGCTCTGCCAGAAGCGCTCTAGCAGCGTCCTTCACCCCACCAGAATGACGACATGCTTGCTCCGCCCTTTTGAACTTGTCTTCCTGTGTTTCTTCCTGCACCGGTCCCCTGCTCCGCGAGCTTGCTGCTTTGGCGTACTCCATCAACCAAGGTAGAGTGGAGGAGATGTCCCCTCTTTTTAACGCCTTGTAGCGCTCTTTGCGAGTAATACGACCATCAAAGGAATGGAGAAGAGCAGGTAGGAGGTACCAGAGTTTGATGGCCCTAAGAAGGGAGAGTGGGGTCCCTGAGCGTGGGGGCAACTCGCGTCTCTCTGCGAGCTCCTTGTTGACGAGATTGAGCGCATGGGTTTGGAGTCGGGCATGGTCGGACGCTAGCCAGGGTTTGATTTTCTTCACCGTTTCGAACCTAAGCGTAAGATCCTCCATGGTCACTTCATCCAACGCGGGGCCAACTCCTGGGCTGTTTTGGTTCCATCCGTAGAGCATTCCCGCCTCGCTGGATTCCTCGCTCATCCCTCCTACCATTCGATCGGCCCTGTTCCGGAGGCCCGGGTCGGCTTGAACAGCTGCTGCTAAGTTTTCTCCTCGAGGGTATTGAGCCCCACACCTGCTGACTCTACATCCAAGTAGCGCTCGCTCTCCTCCTCTCTCGAGATTGGATATTACACACCTTGCATGAATGACATGGCCGCAGGGTAGATTGACCACCCGCTGTCCTTCAGTTACCAACTCCGAACACTCCCCGCATGTGGTATCATTCGCTCGTCCCCGTCCTCCTCCAGCTCCGACTCCCAAAAGTCCGGCTCTTGCTTGGAGCCCGTTGGACGGTCGGCTGGCACCTGATCTGGCCGTGCTCCCTCTACCTCTTCCACCGTTTTCCCCCCGACCTGATGGAACTGGCGGCTGTCCACGTCCCCGAGGTTGTCCTGACGTCTCAGGTTCTGAGGCCGATCCCCTTTCCCTTCCGATTCCTCCATTGCGTCCCTCAGGTGGCGTCGAGGAGGTTCCTTCCCTTCCCCGGGATCTTCCAGTCACCTCAAGCTCGTACGGATTGACACCTACCCCCGCGATCCGTACGTCTCTTTGACGAGACGCCCGCCTTCCTCTTCTTACCGGTGTCCCTAGGGATTGGCTTCTTTCCCCGGTTCTCGCTTCTATGGTATCGCCAGGGGCCCGCTGGCCGATAACGGGCTCCGCCCGCCGTCTACGGGACGATACGGATGTGTTCTCCAGAGCCAATCTTTCTTCCTCCTCTGCGGGACCCATTTCAATGTCGCATCCCGGGTTTATGCCCACCCCTCTCACCCTGGGTTGGACTGGTCGAGCAGGCTCGACGTGGTAGAAGTCCCAGTCGTCGTGGCGATGAGCTACCCGACCCACCCTCGGGAACGTTGGGAGGGGCATTCCGGGTTGGGCAAGGGCGTGGTGTACGGCCACAGTGTAGAGCGTCAAGTGCGATTCGCACTCCGGGTCCAGGTGTGCCAGGTACTCTTGGACATCAGGCGCAATGTATATCCTGCCACGAGGGAGCTGCAGGAGCACCTGGTGCGGCCGTATTCCATGGGCGTAGAACGAAGCCCGGTATCGTTGGACCATCTGGTCCCATCCGTGATCCTCGTTCGGGTCTCGAGGAAAGTGTATGTACACCCCCGCGTCCATCCCAAAGACGTCGCAGAAGAGAGTAACCAGGAGATAGGAAGAAGTCGGACTCCTCCCATTGGCCCGTACCATGAGCTCGAACGAGTCGAAGTGTCCGGCCGGGTCTGCTCCCGCGTCTGATAAAGACCAAGCGGGGAAGTCCCTTTCCAAAACGGATGCAAAAGACACCATCTCCCGCAGAGCGTCCCACCGGCCCCCCGCGTACGGCAGATGGTGGTTGTGGACAAGCTCAGCGGGATGCGGAGGTCGTCGTCCGTGCGATCCTTCTTGCGAGCAGTGGCCACAGGGTTGTGGATCCGCACGTCCTTGTGTCATCAAACTGGCTCGAGCCCACAGGCAGTTAGCGTGTACGGATCCGTTGTGCCCGCAGGGGAGCGGGATAGGCGCCATCCCTTCGTCATGTGGTGGCGGCCCAAAAACACGTCTGCAGTACGAACAAGAGCTTGCGTCAGCTGCGTCGTTCCCTCCGCCTTCAGTGCTTGCCCTCAAATCGGAGACGGGACTCGGCGCCTCGCTCGTTCGATCCATCTCTCGCATTCTCCGGCGAGCTTCATCCACCCTATCCGGTAAGGCTGCTCTATTGCTGTCGTTAAGAATCATGCGCGGGATGGCTGTTTCCACCTGTGCTAGGACTCGTGGCCAGAAGACGTTTCTCGTCGTATCGTGCAGGGCGGGATTCGGGCACGACACCATCCTAGAGTCGCCAGGCCCGGCAGGAGAGGCCAGGTTGTTCTCAATAAAGGTCATCGCGCATGGCAGATGAACCGAGCACGAGCACGGCGTGGTGAGGAGAGGCATTTGCCAAGCCCCGGCCTGGTGGCATATGGCACAGATCCCGTTGGTTGCACCTCGCGGAGAAGTCGCCGTGGGTGAGGGAGGAGGCATTGAGCCGGGCGAAGGAGTGGGGGAGCGGGTGTAGGAATATATGGACGGGCCTGGCGGGTCATCCGTGGGTTGCCTCCTCCGTGCGGCTCTGGTCATTTGAGCGAGGGTGATCCGCGGACGCGTCGGTATGGCTTGCAGTTGGTTTCGGATTACTTCAATCCGCTCATCTAACGATCGCCGGGCCGCTTCTCCTTCCGACACGTCTAATCGTCCGCTCTCCGGGAGAATGACCGATGCTTCGAAGCCGTGTCCCAAGCTCAGGTTTGGGCAAGGTATCCTGCCATGTCCGCTCGCCAGGGCACTCGGGAGTTGATCTTCGATGAGCCCTACCGCGCACCGTGTGTGAAGGTGGCACCCGCAGAGCAAATGGATGGCAGCAATCCACTGATCAATGATTCCATGACATATTTCGCAGAATTGTCTGGACCCTTGTGTCCGACCGGCCTCAAGCGCGGTCGAGCTCACCAAGTTCCTCTCCGATCGCGCAATTCTCATCGCCTCAGAAACTGCTTCGTTTCCATGGAGCTGTCGCAAGCTATCACTAGTGGCGGAAATGGCGGACTCCGCGCGGCACATGGGGCAGTGTAGGGCGTCCCCCACCTCCCTTACACTTGTCCTTGCGTAACATTCCAAGCATAACGTGTGATTACACCCGATAAGGTGGGCCGACGGTTCCTCTGCTACCCCCATGCAAATGCCACACACCCGCTCCTCATTTGTCACGTCGGTCGCTTCGGGTGGTGTCAACTGCGGTGGGTTGTCCTGGTCGGAAGGTTCATCTCCTCCCCGTGGAGCCCTTGTCCCCGGCTGCGTCTCCGTAGCACACGGCAGATCCGAGCAAGTCGCACTCGTTGCATGCCCTGAGTTGTGTGCTCCATGCTCCCCTTCATGGCCACCGCCACTCCGCTCATGTTCACCCACGCCGACCGAAGGCGTTGCGCTCGCCGCAACCAGTACCGTTATCGGGTTTGGAGCCCGAGTCTGTCCGATCGCGTGCGTCGACGTCGATTGCATGGATCGCCGACCTTCCCGGGGCGGGCTCCCTTCCGGCCGCGGCTCTTGTGGAGATGTCGACATCAAGGGCGATATCGCCTCCGGACGACCGTCCTGCTGAACCGGAGCGTCTGTACCTGGCGGGGTCGACAACGATGGGGCGTCCAGTCCTCCTTGAGCGGCGCCGGCTTGTCCCTCCTCCGCCAAAGCAGAAGAGGGTCCCGGCGGCGGCCGGGCCGGCGTCCCCTGGTTTCGTTGCCCCGCTCGCTGCCTGATACTGTCTCCGTCAGCAATGTTGATCACCTCAGATAGCGGCGTCATTTGGCTCAGTTGGCTCCGGAGTGCCCCCACCCGTGTAACTAACGACCTCTCGGCAGCTTCTCCTTCCGACTGGTTGACTCGGAGAATTTGTCGGAGAAGGAGCGACGCACTGACGCTGTATCTGGTTCGATGTCTCCCGGGGTGCGCACATGCTATCCTGCCAGTTCTCCTTGCCAGGGCTCTCGGGAGACGATCTTCGATGAATCCCACAGCACACCTTGGATGGAAGTTGCATCCGCAGGTCATACTAACTGCCGCCTCCTGACCTACAAATGCATGACATGCTTCGCATGTGTGTCTGTCCCTGTGCGTCGGGTTGGCCGCAAGCTCGGTAGAGCTAACCAACTCCCTCTCCGAACGTGCACGCCTCATTGCTGCCGATACCATGTCACTTCCATGTTGCCGCCCTAGCAGAACGCTGGTGGTGCTAATGTTAGACTCCGCGCGGCACAAAGGGCATGGTAGGAGGTCACCTTCCTCCCTCACGCTAGCTCTCGCGTAGCATTCCAAGCACATCACATGATCGCATCCGTCAAGGTGTGCTGCTGGTTCTGCTGGCACCCCCATGCAAATGCAGCACATCCGATCCACACCAGGCGGGTCTGCTGATTCTGTGTATGTCAAAACTGGTGGAGTGCCTGGTTCTGAAGGCTCATCTTCCCCCCTTTCAGCCCGTGATCCAGGGCCCGCTCCGGCGGTGCTCTCCCGTTCATGTCCGGCCGCGCTCGCTCCTGGTCCTGGATCATGTATTCCCGGCTCCCCGGCGTTGTCGTCCCCGCGTCGGTCATGCTCACCTCCGTCACCCGAAGGCGTGGCCCCCTCCTCGGCCATCGGCGTTGTTGGAGATGACTCCTGATCCTGACCGTTGGCTTGTGCCTCTGACGACTGTGGCAAACGCTCCTCATCTCCAAGAGGGTTGTCTTCCCGCAGCGTCTGCTGCGACGATTCCGACCGAGCCCGAACGTCCGGAAACGTCGAAGTCGGCAGGGATGTTGCCTCCGCTGCTTCAAATCGTTGCGCGTCCAGTCTTGCGGGAGGTCCTCCCGTTTGGTGTGGCCTCTCCGAAGGGCCATAGAGTCCAGGCGGCATTCCAGTTGGTGTCGCATCCGTGGTGGCGAAAGACGCTGGGACCAGGGGTGTATCATGACTCGGCTCCGAATACGTCTCCCTATCGCCAGAGGTTTGGGTGTCCCGTCCTGCGGGAGGGGTGCCCGCTTGGTGTGTCCTCTCCGGAAGTACAGATGGTCCCGGCGAAGGTCCAGCTGATGACGTAGCAGTAGTTGTGCAAGGTTCTGGGGTCCGGCTCTGTAAGGGAGGCGACTCTCCTGCGTCCGCTCGTCGTATGTCCGTTTCCGCCGGAGGGGCGCCCGCTGGGAGTGTCCTCTCCGGAGGACCAGAGATCCTCGTCGGCGGTGCAGTAGTTGGCTCTGTAGTGTTTGATGAAGACGCGGGGACCGGGGATGTTCCCGTTTCAGTCTCTTGTCGCTCGATGACAGATGGTTGGAGAGGGGCTTGTGTAGAAGCCTGGGTTTCGGCAGCTCTCCGGGTGCGCGACCTGGTTCTCGTAGAGATGCGGCCTTCGACAGAACTATTCCTGTTCCCATCCCCTCCGACCCTACCCCCTGCGTAAGTCATCCTTGTCTCCTGGGCAGTCGGTGGGGGGTGTTGGACGTTCGACACCCTCGCCTCCTGGATGCCCGGATGATGGCCAGCGGTTGTCAGTCCTCCTCGAGAGGGGCCGTGCCTGGGGGGTGTCGGGTGGTGTGTGGAAGTCCCGTGTGGTGTCGGATCCACTTCCATGTGGTCTCCTGTTATGCCCCTCCTTGTTGCCCTCGTTGTAGACCTGGACGGGGATGACTGTGTGACAGCTAAAGCTCTTCCATTGGGTGTTGCGAGAATGCCCGATGTCGAAGATCCGGGGGCTTGTGCACGAACAGCACTCATCCTGTCCCAACGTCCGGTTCGTGTAGGCACCACCTGGTCCTGTTGGTTGGCCCGTTGGCTCTCTGCCCCCCTCCGTGTATTTTCGTCCGTTCGCGTTGTGTTAAACGCCCCTCTCCTGTTCTCTCTCGCTGACGTCGATATAATCTCATTCCTGTCCGGCCCTCTACGGTTGTTGGATTGCGAAATATCGGCCCCTGCACGAGCTCGTTGTGGGAGGGGCGGAGCCTGCTCGGTCGTCCCTCTTGCACGTACAATCGTGGTCTGCGCCGGTATGGGAGCTCCGACAGATGCAGCGATCCTAGAGTGTCCTCGTCCTGCTGAGGTCGTCGGCGGTGAGGATCTTCCTCGCTGGTTGGCTGTAGTTACCCCTCCATCCTCAACAGGCGACCTCATCCATCTAAAAATACCAGCGATATTCCTCGGCGCCCGAGACGGGGCTCCTGTGGTCGGAGAAAATGAGACCCGAAGTCTTTGTCGTGGACGGCCAGAGATATCCATATCCAGTGACTCTGACCGCCGCCTCCTCCGAAGAATGCCAATCAATCCGGTGGCCTCCTCTGTACGTCGCGGTGAAGGGGAAAAATGTCGGGACCGTACCCTAGGTCGCGTGGAGGTCGATTCCAAGGAATCTGAGCGTCCTCTACTCCTTCCTACCACGCGAGGCGGAGATAAGCGTGTTAAGTCAGACATGTGCGACGGCGCCTGGACCATGCCGAAGCCCGTCGTCGATGACCCCCCCCTCCCTGCGTGAGCCCTTGTGCAAATGTTGGCGTTGCCCACTCCCGCTCCTCCCTCGCCATTGTCGGTTGTCAATGATGGCTGTTGTTGTAGTCCTCCAACCTGTCTAATCTCAGCTCCGTCCTCTCTTCCCCCTACGTTGGAGGTGGTCCACGCCGGAATAGTCCTGTGGCGGCCTCTCCCTTGTGATCGTGGAGTCTGAAGCATTGAAGGCGTGGCGTGGGTTCCAGACATCCCCCTGCCTGTTTGAGCCCTTGTGTAAATGTCGGCGTGGCCCACTCCTGTGCCTCCTGCTCCATTGTTGGTCGTGACCGATGGCTGTTGTTGTAGTCCACCAACCCGGGTAAGCACGCCTCTATCCTCTCTTTCCCTTACGTTGTGTGTGGCCCACGTCGGAGCAGTCCTGTGGCGGCCTCTCCCTTGTGGTCGTGGAGTCGGAAGCATTGAAAGGGTGGCGTGGGTTCCAGTCAAACCCCTCATAGGCGAACTACCCCTAGAAGGAGCCACACTGGGGTATGAATTGTCGAACCTCCCCCGATTCGTCCCCTGTGCATTTCGCCTAGCGTTCCCCGGTGCCACATTGTCGAACCTTCCCCGATTTGTCCCCTGTGTATTGCGCCTAGCGTTCCCCGGTGCCACATTGCCCCCTGTGGCTCTCACTGGAGGTGTGGTATGGCGTCCTCTTCCCCTCGAAGGAGGTGGTGAACCTACAGTGATGACCCGCACCTGTCGTGTCGTGCTCGCTTGTTGCTGTGTTCTCACTGCTCTTTCAGGAGGACGCTGCTGTCGTTGGCCTGTAGGTGCTCGTGCGTCCTGGGGCATTGTCCCCACCGTCCCCTGATTATTATTTTGGCGACGCCTGTTATGACGCGCCATGTGGAGTGACGGAACTAACCTCCTCCCATGAGTCTTCCTTCGCTAGAGGATGCAAAGTGGTGCACATACGTCGTTGGCAAACGGACGTCAAAACAAATCCGAAACAACCGAGATATAATAGATTCGAAGAGATGCCTGAGCGAATGTTCAACCCTCCTGCTAGCTCCAGCACAGCGTTTTTCTTCCGACACCCTGGTCCCCGTTCCGGTAGACACAACTCCGGATTAGAATCCACCGATTCCGGCCCTCCCCCGACCCTCCGCCCTCTGCCCCCGTTTTGTGCCTTTTGGCTGGCCTTTTTTTTGGGCCTTTTTTTTTTTTTTTTTTGCCTTTTTTTTTTGCCTTCTTTTTGCCTTCTTTTTGGGCTGGCCTTCTTTGGGCTCTTTTCTTTTTGCCTTTTTTGGGCTGTCCTTAGGCCACTTGTTACGCTGTCTCTTTTCGGGCTGTTCCTTTTCTAAAAAAGGGACAACTGGCCAAAAACCACTTGTTAGGCCATTTCTTACGAAGTCTTTTTCTCTGGACCTTTTTTCCCTCAAAAAAGACAGCCCAAAAAAAGATACACAAAAAAGATGAACCCCTTCTTACGAGGTCTCTTTTTAGAACTGGGGTTTCCTGATGATTTTCGGTGGCGTTCGGCGCGCGGGGGCACAGTGGTTTTTGAATTTCCGCCGCTCACAGCACACACCGCGCACACCACAAAACACAACGCTTTTCTGCACCAGCGCCACTCTGCACACAGCAGTCGCATCCCGTACAGCAGACCATGAATGCTATGAAACTAGATGGCGTACAGTCTCTCCCGCTGGAGTTCAACTCGTATGCGGAGACAGTGATTTCGATGCTGCGGGACAAGAGGAGCTCCGGCCTGACGGACACCAAGTTGCTGAAGCACCTCCAGAACGTGTGCATCGTGTACGCGTGTTTGGCGGTCAAGCGCAACGCCGGGATTGTCTCCACACAGGCCAAGCACGCGGCAGTGGCGAAGGGGTACAAGGACATCGCTGTCCCTGGCTTCTTCAAGTGGCTCAAGGAAAACTTGGAGGCGGATCAATACTTCTCGCAGCCGTGGCTCACGTTCGAGGTCATGGGAAGGACGTCGATGAGCGGAGGTGAGACACAACGAACGCGGGAGAGAGAGAGGCAGGTTTCGAGTGCGTAAGACAACCGTCATGATGGAGACAGGCTGGGTTCGGTGCCTTCATGGTGTGCTGTTCAACATGACATGCTCAACGTAGGGTGTAGGGTACCGGGTCCGGCCAAAGTTGCATTTTTGCTGCACTCACCAGGCCATGACGGGCTGCTGCCGCAAGAAGAACCAAGATGATACTGCTGCTGTATGCATAGGATACCTTGTCAAGCCACGGCCCATCCTTTGGGCGGCAATCACAGGATGCAACCCTTTAGTAAGTGCACCAGTCGTAACGTAGCTTGTCGAGGCTCAGCTGTATGGCTACCCGAGCGTGGCCATATTCTTGAGCAGTACATACCGCACTTACTCCTACCGATAGGCACATGGAGAGCAATATTCTGTACAGCGACGACGCAACACAATGCACGCCCTCCAGCAGGGTATGTTTGCCGCTACTGCTGACCATTAACTACTACTGCTGCTGTTCGACTTTTGCCTACCCCATGTTGCTGCGACGCAGACGCGGTCCTCTTCACCGACGGCAA